GAACGTATACATAATCACAATACTAGTCTAAATCGAGCCTAAAGCAAACTACGATAATTCAATTTTTAAAAGCAACATTTGTGAGGGCCATGGATAATTTAATTTATTTATGGAACACCTCAAACCTTTTCAATAAGTGTTAGTTCTTAATCTAATCTTACGAGGGCCATGAATTATAAATTTTGTTTGGCATGACACACCTCACTTATTTTAACAAAAGGGAGTTGCTTTTTATTTTAACAATTCATCACGCTTTATTAAATATTAAGAAAGTTTGGTCGAAGTTGCGCGAACGCATACCTCGATTTTGTTATTAGGATCGTAATCATGTCAAGCGAACGTGTGCACAATTACGATGATAGATTAAGTCGCATCTAAAGCAAGCTACGACTGCTCATGGTTATTAAGTCTAATTTGAGATTATTCCCATGAAACGTTCATATAGGCACCTCAATATAAAAGGAGTCACGCAATTTTACTACATGTTAATGTCATAGGCAAAAGCAAAACAGTGCAAGTGTCGACACACTGCAAACTGAAGCACACATTTAAGTAAAGAAACACATGAATGAAGAAAACATTAAAAATACATGGAAACTGAAATTGAAATAACTATAACATGCAAATAGTAACATTTGATTTTTTTTTTTTTTTTTTTTTTTTTTTTTTTTTTTTAGTTTTCATGGCCAAGGGGTTAACAATTGAAAACGTATACTAAATAACTATAGCTTAGCCTCAAACACCCAATTTATTTGCAAAGAAAAATATATATATTTTTTATAACTTACTACACTTATATAAAAAAATAATTATTATAGTTTATGGCCTACTTAATACTACCCTTATCTAGTCCCACTCTAAACAGTTATAAAAATTATCAAAAAGGCATAATAGAAGCACAAATAAATAAATAAATAAATAAATAAATAAATAAAATTAAAATGAACAAACACCCTATGGAAAAGAACTGTACTCAACAAAGTTATTTGCACCCCTAAATAAATATGAACTATTAACGTAAAATTGACTTACCTTTTAACAAGTGGCCATTCATTAGAAGATCATTACACACACAAGACAAAAGTTTATATATACTACTGGATTCACATAGAAGGAATATGACAACTTTTTTTTTTTAAAACGTAAATGAATTCGTAAAACTAGAAACATGATTTAATTAAACCTTCAAAACAAAATTTAGTTAGTAACAGAATTCTTATCAGATTTGAACTTAATTGTGATTGACTATCATTTACCATTTGAAATGAAAAGTTTTTTTTTTTTACTGAACAAACTAAACCCAACTCACACGAAGATTAGAACATAGTACTTCCTGCTTCTTTCCACTAGAGAACATTTTCATAATTATTAACATATTCCTAAGACTAGACAATTAACAAAAAACGAATTATTCAATGTCTCAATTTTATGAAAACAGAAGCGTCATCCTTGATTCTTAGTCAATTAATGATCTTTTGAAGAAAAAAGTCACAAACGAATAGAAACATAATAAAATATGGTGATAAAAGGTACCGTCGATTTAAGCGGACTAACTGAGATAAAATAATTACATATCCAAAATATTATATCCAAAGTCTTGACCAAAGACATGATATCAAGGTATTGACATTTCAAGTATAACTTAAGACAACCAACATAAAATTAAAACATCTTTAACATACTATTCAAACTTTAATTAAAAAGATCAAAGTAGGACTTAAAGTACATAAACGAACCTTAAATTTCCTTGTGAATATCCGCAGAAAACGTACTATACCAACTCCGAACAACGAACGAAACTTCAAAACTCAACCAAATAATTCTTTTGAATCTTGCCTTGGTTACTGCCTTTTCTTTTTCTTTCTTCTTCTTTCAACGTTAACTTTTTTTTTTGTTTCCAAAAATCCCCCCTTTCTTTGCTGAAGAGAGTGATATTTAAATAGCGAAGTTTGCTGGATGGTTTCCCCATCTCCCCATGAAAATCGATAGCAGAAGAGGGGATCGTGGGATTTGTTCTGAGTTGTTTCAATTTTGAAAATAAACAAGTGAGTGTGTGCAAATTGTGAAGAGTGGGTAACATGGGGTAATTGTGAGAGGAGACGTGGGGGGTGGGGGAAGTTAGAGTTGGGGTTGTTAGCAAGTCACGTTATCTCAAATCAGATATTTGAGATAAAGTTTGTGATACCAAACATTATCTCTTTTAACATGACTTTATTATTATTATATTATATATATATATATATTTTAAAAGCTAAATTGAATTATAAATATAAGAAGATTAACCAACATTTTCTTATAATATAGGGAAACTATATATATTTACATGTACTTTAAATAATACTAAGAAAAAATACTATATCTTACTTATTAAAATTCTAATTAAAAGAAACTAAATACCTTTTTTTTAAATTTTCTTTTCTCGTGTAAATAGAAATAAAATTTATACTCTAAGAATGTGAATATTATTTTTGTAGTTTTTTATTTAATTAATATTTTTTTTAAACCTATTAAGAGTAAGATAAAAATTTACAATATCAAAATTATGCCTAAAGGAAATATTTACACTAAATAGTATAAAATTTGGATGTGGTCAAAAATTAGTTGTTCACACCCAACACTATGCTCTAGAACCAATTTTCAAGGTCTCGGGTCCATATTCTTACGCTCCTCATTTTGGCCTCCTGGTGAGACTGCAAAGCCTGCTAAGACAGTGGAGCAAGATGAGATATCTAGAAAGCTGAAAGGGTTTAAGGTGCCAAAGTTTAATTTGTATGATGGGCATGGAGATCCAGTAGCCCATCTGAAGGGTTATTGCAGCGCACTGAGTTGGTAACCATCAACGTGCTTTGGGATTCATGTGAAATACAAAGGTTCGGTATATGTCAAGTCATGAGCACAATGCAACAGATAAAAGGTATTGGGTTTGAATGAATCAGAGGTATTTTCCGTGATAAGGGTGACAGAGAAAGTGGTCAGTCAATAAACAAGCAAGGTTTTTCGAGTTGAAATCATAGTTATCATGGGAAGTGAAGGATCAATCTCCCTCAAAGTCAAGGCCGTAAACCAACTACCATGTTTGAACTCACAAGTTTTCTTTAATTGAAACAGGGGCGGGAAATTTTGTTTGTTCCAGAGAAACCCTCCGTGAGGAAAGCAGGTGCCAGACAAGCTTGGTAGTAAGTTCTAGTACCCTCCTGGATAACGGGATTTAGTAAGTTTTGAGACCCTCGCAAGTGACAAGGTCTGACGAGAGTCAGGCGCCCACCTGGAGAACAAGGGAAAACAGCTCAAGTCTCAAGAGAAATCAATTCAAGTTCAGCAATCAGGTGCCCACCTGGAGAATAAGGGAAAACAGTTCGAGTTTCAAAGAACAATAGTTCAAGTTCAGCAATTAGGCGCCTACCTGGAGAACAAAGGAATACAGTTCAAGTTTCAAGGGAAGACAGTTCAAGTTTCAAGGGAAAGTAGTTTCAAAAGAAAGCGGGTCAAGTTCAGCAATCAGGCGCCCACTTGGAGAACAAGGGAAGACAGTTCAAGAACAAGGGAAAGCAATTTAAGTTTCAAAGAAAAGCAGTTCGAGTTCAGCAATCAGGCGCCTACCTGGAGAATAAGGGAAAGCAGTTCAAGTTCCAGGGAAAGACATGTCAAGTTCAACAAATCAGGCGCCCACCTGGAGAACAAGGGGAGACAGCTCAAGTTTCAGGGAAAAGCAGTTCGAGTTTCAGCAATCAGGAGCCCATCTGGAGAACAATGGAAAATAGCTCAAGTTTCAAGAAAAGCAGTTCGAGTTTCAGCAATCGGGCACCCACTTGGAGAACAAGGGAAGACAGTTCAAGTTTCGAAGGAAGACAGTTCAAGTTTTGGCAATCAGGCACCCACCTGGAAAATAAGGGAATTCACTTCAGAATGCAATTCAAGTCAGCAACAAAAGAAGCTCGCGGCAAGAATGCGGGTCAGCAGTCCGAGATGACCAACAAAAGTAGTCTCATTCCAGAATAAAAAAGAGGGGAAAATGAAAAAAGAGAAGTGAATCCAAAATACAGAAGCAGAGAAATATGTGAACTGCTCAAGACGTGGTTGAAGTCACAAGCACCACATGTCCGATTTTGATCCGAAAGGATGAAGAAAAGCGAGCTAGCACTTGCAGCTAACAAGCGCCAAGGTTCAAATCTAGAGTCTGCATGAAGAACCATTGAAGACTCAAGATCAAGCTTCAGAAGACTTATAGATAGGAATCTTGTAACTCATAGTTGACAGGCTTAGCTAGTCTTTTTCATTTTTGATTTTTGATATAATAACAGAGCCGCAGACCGGAACATCAACGGAATGGCACTTCGACCGGCTCTCCACCTCGGAATACTCTATCATCTCATTCACTTCTGAAATACATGTGGCCTGATTCCTTTATATCCAAGGATATGTAGGCAGATCAGATACCAGGGCTTGGTCACATTCCCCTTTTCTCTTAGTTTAGTCTCTCCAAATAAGGGTCGAGTCAAAAAACCTGTCTAGTTGTTCTTTGTCTGAAAACTCTTCGCGTTCCCAGTCAAAAAGGGGCAGCTGTAGACATGTGATTTTTGACCCTCCCCAAGATTTTTTATATTTTTGCATGTAAATATTTAATTTAGGCCTAATATCGCTATTTCAACTAATTTTGACTCTTTTACTTTATTTTTATTACAAGAAAATGAAAATTACAAAAAATAGTTTCATTAATATTTTGTAGTCATTTTTAATCTTGAAAAATACCAAAAATAGTTTTGTTTTAACGGTCAATCTTATTTTAATAGTTATTTTACTTAAGTAGGATTAATAATAAATGAGATCGTATTTTTAGTCTTGTTCGCGGGGAAAGAATAAAATTTGGGCTCAAACGATCTATTTTTAGGCCTAATTTTCGGATCAAGCCCATAATTCCTAGGCTCATACCCCTTAACCTAAAAAACCTTACAAAAACCAAGACCTAGACACTCTACAATTAGCCGTTTGGACTGAATACCTAATGAGTAACACCTAAAACCTTGACAAAAAAAGATACATCTGCCATTTTTTTCATAGAATAGGACCCTCCACCCTACCGATATGTATCCTTCTAAAAACAAAGCAGCCATTTTCATGGCTTTTGACTTAACAAAAACAAAGCAGCCATCTCACAAACAACCACCCTCAACTTTCTGTTTTCCACCCAAAGACCATCCCCGAACTTCGTCTTCTCAGCGCCTAAAGACACAACCGACCTCTTTAATCTTCTCTACACCCAAGAACACCAAACGACTCACCCTTCCACACAGATGTACATAGAGAACGGCAGAGAGAGTGACGATTAGGGAGGAGGACGGACGAGAAACAAAGGCTCACTGACGGCCTTTCATCAAACGAAAATTAATCGCACCTCCTTCTTCTTCAAGAGAAATTTTCTCTTTAGATTTCCATTAAAACTCAAGTCTCAATATTAAACCACAAGATAGCTCTTTAAACACCTCAAAACCAGCCCTAAAACAACCATGAGAATCCATGGAACAAACCCCTTTCCCTTCTAGTTTTGGTTGCAATCGAGTAGCGAGGTTCAATCCGTCGAATTCGTTGGTCCAGAGTTCAGTCAATAGCTCATTGTGGTCGATTCGATTTGGATTTTTACGTTTGGAGAATACTGAGCAAAGGTCCATTCTAACCTTTGTCTTCTTTTTGTGTACTTGCGTGAATAAACCCACACTATCCTTAATAAATATTGTTCAGTTTAAATTGTGGTTTCCAAGTTATTTGTTAAGTTATATTATCCTGTGAATATTTTCATGTTATCCTTGTTAGTAATATTTTTCTCTTTCTTTTGTCTAGCTTGATTCATTTATTATGGCCATGTTTACAATTTTGTGCTAATCTAGTGGGTACAAATTTGTGGCGAGGTTATGAGTTTATTTGTGCTTCAAATTTTACATGATTCATTAAGCTTGTTTTTATTTGTATTATTGCTTGTGTTTCATATATTTATTATCTTAAATTTATAATGTTAGATTTATCAAAGGACAAAAAGATTTAGGGGTTGGATATAAAAGAAAAATCAGAATGTTAAACTAGTCAAATAATTCCATAATTTCAATCACCTTTCTCGAGTAACGAAATGTGTGGTTATTCCAACAAATAATTTCCATAATTTTGGACCTTCACATGTAATCGTAAACTGTAGATAAGTAATTTAACTCATGCACATTCGTAGTTTGCTTTAGGTACGTTTAATATACCATTGTAATTGCGTACACGTTCGCTTGACATAATTATGATTTTAAAAACAATTTGGAGTATGCGTGCGCGCAACTTCGACCGAAATTTCTTAATAATAATAAGGTTGTGATGACCCAAAAGGTCATCACTTGTTTTAAAAGTAAATTCTGCATTCAGAAGCCTCAAAAACCTCTTTCGACATCACCTCAATTTGCGTACGTAGTTCGGGCACGTAGCCGAAAAGCCATTATGTGAAAATCTATGAAAAACAATGAGTTTTGACTTTAAAATGGATTTAAGTTGACTTCGGTCTGTAGGAAAATATGGGATTTGGGTGTATGCCCGAAATCAAATTTCGAGATCCCAAGCCCGAGAAATGTTTTTTTAAAGAAAATTGTTTTCTCGAATTATTTATGAGTTTTAAAAATAAAATGTGTTTAAAACTTTATGGTATCGAGCCCATATTTTGGTTCCGGCACCCGGTACATATCTTATATATGATTTAAGATAGGTCTGTGAAATTTGGTAATAAACAGACTTGAGATGACGTGAATCAGATCGTATTTGAGAACATTGGAAAATTTAAAGTTCTTAAAAAATTTTATGATTTTGATGCTAAATTCATAGTTGTTGATGTTATTTGAGAGATTTGAATGCACGAGTAAGTCCATATGATATTTTTAGGTTGGTGTACATGTTTGGTTTGGAGCCCCGAGGGCTCGGGTGAGTTTTGGATAGGCCATAGAGTGAAAATTTCACTTAGGAATTTGCTGGTATATTACAGGCATGCAGGCTTTGCATTTGTGTAGCCTAGCTCGCAAATGCGAGCATTGTATCGCAAATGCGAGAAGTGGACTGGGCTGCCTTATTCGCAAATATGAAGAACCGGTCGCAAACGCGACATCGCAAATGCGAAGGCACAGTCGTAAATGCGAAGAGGCCTGGTTTTCCTCAGGGTTCACAAATGCGAACCCATGTTTGCAAATGCGAAAGTAACAGAAGTCTGGGTTCACAATTGCAAACCCTGGTCGCAATTGCGACAACTGCAACCTCCAATTCTATAACTTAGCCGAAAATCTTTCATTTTTTACACTCTTTCAAAATCAAAACACTCTTGGGTGAATTTTCAAAGACAACTCTTCTTCCAAATCAATTGTAAGTCAATTTTAACTCGTTTTCTTCAATTATTAACATCTTTTCACATGATTTCAACTCAAAGGAAATTGGGTGTTTTGGGTAGAACTTAGGTTTTTCAGATATTGGGGATTTGGACCTCGATTTGAGGTCCGATTTCAAAATAAATTATATATTTGAGTTCGTGGGGGAGCGGGTAATCGGGTTATGGTTCGAACCTCGGGTTTTGACCATGTGGGCGCAGGGGCGAGTTTTGACGTTTTGGGTAAAACTTTAGAAAACTTATTTTCATGCATTAGAATTGATTCATTTAGCGTTTATTGATGTAATTACGTAACTTGTGGCTAGATACGAGCGAATTGGTGGTAGAATCAAGAGTTAAAGCGATAGTAGAGACTCGAATTGTGTTCGTGGCATCGAGGTAAGTGTTTGGTCTAATCATAGCTTGAGGGATTAGGAGTCGTGTCTTATTTTCTATGTGTTAATCGTGGAGTACGATGTATAGGCATGGTGACGAGTATCTATACGTCAGTGTCAAGCATGCCCATGAGTCTTGTATTGTAATTGTTATGACTCCGTTGTGGTTTATTGAGCTTCATATGAGGATTATCATTATTGTTCCCTTCCCGGGATGTTATTATCATTATTATTCCCTTGCAGGGATGTTATTGTCATATTATTGTTCCCTTGCCAGGATGTTTGTCTTGATATTATTGTTCGCTTGCCGGGATGTTGTTGAAATATTATTGTTCCCTTGTCGAGATTCTTTTGTGATTGTTGTTGATTTGTAAATGGGATCGGGTGGCACGCCGCAACGAAAATATATAAAATGGGAGCGGGTTGCACGTCTGCAACGAGATATATGAAATGGGAGAGGGTTGCACGCCTGCAACGAGATATATGAAATGGGAGCGGGTTGCACGCCTGTAACGAGATATATGAAATGGGATCAGGTTGTATGCCTATAACGAGATACATGAAATGGGATCGGGTTGCCCGCCTGCAACAAGATGTGAAATGAAAGTGAATTCTGCATTTGTTTTCCTTATCCTTGTTAGTAATTGGATTTTGGTTTCTTTATATTCCTCTTGATATTCTGTTGTTATCTGTTATTCCCCGAAACATGTTTTTCCCCTCCCATCTTTAACTGTAACTATCTGCTTTTATTTTTCCGCTGTATATGATTTAATTGCAATGGTTTATTTGGTAGTCTTGTCTTAGCCTCGTCACTACTTCGCTGAGGTTAGGCTAGTCACTTACCAGCACATGGGGTAGGTTGTACTAATACTACACTTTGCACTGTGTGCAGATACTGATATCGGAGCACTTGAACTGCAATGAGGTTGCTGCCTTCAGTCCTGTAGGCGTCCGTGGGCCTTGGCGTCACTTCCTATCTTCCCTTTATCCTATTTCCTTTACTTATTTTAGAAACAATGTATCTTTTATCTTTCAGACTTTGTATGTAGTATTCTTAGACCGTCTGTGAAACTGTGACACCAAATTCTGGGTAGAGTTGTATTTAGACTTCCGCAGTTTGTATTAAGATAAATTATTAGATTTTGTCTTCTGCTTAATTATTTCCGCTATTTGCATGATATCTACTCATCATTGTTAATGGTTTAAAACTAGAAAAGGTTAAGTAATTAGAATAATTTGGCTTGTCTAGCTTTCACCAGTAGGCGCCATCACAACTCCCGATGGTGGGAAATCCGGGTCGTGACAAGTTGGTATCAGAGCTCTAGGTTACATGGATCTCACAGTTCACAGACAAGCTTAGTAGAGTCTGAGGTATTGGTACAGAGACATTTGTACTTATCCCCCATAGGCTATAGAGTTGGGAAAAACTTCACATTTATTCCTTCCTGTCGTGCGGTTTGGTTTCTCAATGCTAATTGAATTTCTACTCTGTTCTTTCGCAGATGTCGAGAACACGCGCTTCCTTATCCGCTGACCAGCAGCCCAAGCCCCTAGCAGAAGCTCCCACGAGGGGTAGAGGGGGAGGCCGAGGCCGTGCTAGAGGCCGAGGTAGGGGCACAGCTCAGCCCAGAGTAGCAGCACCAGCGACAGAGCCTCATGTTGACTTTGATGATGAGGTTCAGGCCCCGACAGTTCCGGTGGGCCCAGCTCAGGTACCAGAGGGGTTTATTGCTACCCCAGTACTCTAGGACGCTCTGGTCCATCTAGTGGGCCTTATGGAGAATGTCACCCGGGCAGGCTTGCTTCCTATATCTCCAACCATCTCTCAGGCTGGAGGAGGAGCTCAGGCTCCTGCTACTCGCACTCTGGATCAGGTAGCTCCCCAATTCTAGACTCTAGCAGTTCATCCTGTTGGAGTAGTTCAGCCGGGTGTGGTAGCTCAGACTGGTGACGGAGCAGCTATGTCTGCCGATACTTTGTGGAGGTTGGACAGGTTCACCAAGCTCTTCACTACTACTTTCAACTGTGCATCTTCTGAGGATCCCCCAGGATTATCTAGATAGTTGTCATGAGGTTCTCAGGAACATGGGGATAGTGGAGACTAATGAGGTCGATTTTGCTACTTTTCGCTTGTCTGGATCTGCCAAGACTTGGTGGAGAGATTATTGCTTGGCTAGACCAGTCGGATCACCAGCTTTGACTTGGGAGCAGTTTACTCAGCTATTTCTGGAGAAGTTTCTCCCTATCACTCAGAGAGAGGCCTATCAGAGGTAGTTTGAGCATCTCCACCAGGGTTCTGTGACCGTTACTCAGTATGAGACCAGATTTATCGACTTGGCTGGTCATGCTCTTATCATACTTCCCACCGAGAGAGAGAGAGGGTAAAAAGGTTCATTGAGGGACTTATTCAGCCGATTCGACTTTAGATGGCCAAGGAGACTGGGAGTAAGATTTCTTTCCAGAAGGCGGCCAATGTGGCTAGGAGAGTTGAGATGGTTCTATCACAGGGTGGTGGTCAGGGGTTTGACAAGAGGCCTCGTCATTCAGGCCGATTCAGTGGTACCTCATGTGGAGGCAGGGAATCGTATGGGAGCGGGTTGCACGCCCGCAACGAGATATATGAAATGGGATTGGGTTGCATGCCTGCAACGAGATATATGAAATGGGATCGGGTTGCACGCCTGCAACGAGATATATGAAATGCGATCGGGTACACCCCCGCAATGAGATACATGAAATGGGATCGGGTTGCACGCCTGCAACAAGATGTGAAATGAAAGTGAATTCTGTATTTGTTTTCCTTATCCTTGTTAGTAATTGGATTTTGGTTTCTTTATATTCCTCTTGATATTCTGTTGTTATTTGTTATTCCCCGAAGCATGTTTTCCCCTCCCATCTTTAACTGTAATTATCTGCTTTTATTTTTACGCTGTATATAATTTAACTGCACAGGTTTATTTGGTAGTCTGGTCCTAGCCTCGTCACTACTTCGCCGAGGTTAGGCTAGGCACTTACCAGCACATGGGGTCAATTGTGTTGATACTACACTCTGCACTATGTGCAGATACTGATATCGGAGCGCTTGGACCACAGTAAGGTTGCTGCCTTCAGTCCAGCAGGCAACCCGATGTATTCCTGCAGGCGTCCGTAGGCCTTGGCATCACTTCCTATCTTCCCTTTATCCCGTTTCCTTTACTTATTTCAGAAATAGTGTATCTTTTATCTTTCAGACTTTGTATGTAGTATTCTTAGACCGTTGGTGAAACTGTGATACCAAATTTTGGGTAGAGTTGTATTTAGACTTCCACAGTTTGTATTAAGATAAATTATCTGATTTTGTCTTTCGCTTTAATTATTTCCGCTATTTGCATGATATCTACTCATCACTGTTAATGGTTTAAAATTGGGAAAGGTTAAGTAATTATAATAATTTGGTTTTAACGTTTTCATTTAAGTAGGCGCCATCACGACTCCTGAGAGTGGGAAATCTGGGTCATGACAAAGGCGTTATTAATTGTGGACACGTTCGCGTGACATGATTTTTGACGCTCCAAGCGGAATGGATACACGTATGTGTGACCTGTTTTAAGATAACTTTTCTTAATTAAAAGGGCAAATGTACATAGGTTCTAAAATCGGTGATCAAACAATTTGATTAAGCCAAGTATGATCAAAGAAACCGTGCTAGATCACGGAACTCGGGAATGCCTAACACCTTCTCCCGGGTTAACAAAATTCCTTACCCGGATTTCTGTATTCGCAGACTGTAAATAGAGCCAACATCCTCGATTCAGGATTTTAAACCGGTGATTTGGGACACCATAAATTATCCCAAGTGGCGACTCTGAATTTTAAATTAATAATCCCGTCTCGATTGTCACTTAAATTGAAAAATATCCCTTATATACCCTTCTGGGGTAGTAAAAAGGAGGTGTGAAAGTTATGATTACACAGGTGTAGCTATCGCATTTGTGATGATATGTTCGCAAATGCGAACTCGCAATTGCGAAGGAAGGCCTGCCCTGTTAACCTCGCAAATGCGAACACTGTTGGAGTTGCTTTTGCGACTGGAGCTTCGCAAATGTAAAGGTCACCCCCCTGCCCAGTCATCACAAATGCAATGGTTAGTCACAAATGCGAGCTCGCAATTGCGAAGCCTGCAGACCTGCAACACACCAGGAGTTTTCTTAAGTCCAATTTCACTCCGTGGCCTATCCAAACTCACCCGAGCCCTCGGGGCTCCAAACCAAACATGCACGCAAGTCCAAAAATATCATACGGACTTGCTTATGCAATCAAATCATCAAAATAATATCAAAAACTATGAATTAAACCTCAAATTCATGAAATCACTCAAGAACATCAAATTTACTATTTTCTCAACTATAAGTCCGTTTTGTACCAAATCAATTCCGATCTTAAATAAATTTTACAGATTCAACTTAATTATTATTTCAAACTTGTATCGGGCTCCAGAACCAAGAGACGGGCCCGATACCATCAAGAAAATGCATCAATTCACTTCTAAAAATCATTATATTTTTGAGAAAATAATTTTCTTTAAAAATTCATTTCTCGGGCTTGGGACCTCGGAATTCGATTCCGGGCATACGCCCAAGTCCCAAATTTTACTACGGACCCCACGAGACCACCGAACCACGAGTCCGAGTCCATTTACCAAGAATATTGACCAAATTCAATTTTATTCAATTTTAAAAGCCAATTTCCTTATTTTACTTAGTTTTCACATAAAAGCTTTCCGAAAACATCCCCGGACTGTGCAAATTGAGGTGACACAAAGAGAGGTTTTTAAGGCCTCGGAACATAGAAATTTACTTGCAACACTAGTGATGACCTTTTGGGTCATTACATAATAGCTAAACTATTGCTTATGAAAACAAAGTTATCAATATTAGTTTGATATAGGTTATATACGAAAGTGTATTATATTCTCCCCTCACAAATGGTTTAGGATCAGGAACCAAATAATTTTATCTTATTATTATTGATGTGAGGTGTATACTTTAATTAACACCATAACGCACAAAGATAGGTTCTCAAAGTTGAGGAAACAAGTTAGTTTTCTAACATGAGGGGGAGACACGATAAACAGTTGAGAAAAGGTTACGTGAAATGAATTATTATGTGTGCATCTAGATCCTCGAATAAAATAATATGAACTTGAAGTTCATAAAAGGATAATTCATTTGCAATATATTGCAAAGCATGCCAGACGCATTTGCTGACCCAAAGAAAGTAACTATATTCTCGTTGCAAATGCTCTTATTAAGTTCTAGAAGGACAAAGTCTATGGTACTCTTAAAACGTATAGACAAAACGGTTTCAAATAAAACTTCTTGATAAAGAAGATGAGCAAATGATAATAATAAGGAGGCAAGTGATCCAGAAGATCACATGACATAACACTTCATAAAATCTCAGGAGAGATTTAGGTACTTGAAAATATGAACGAAGAGATCTCTATGTTATGTCTTTATGAGAAAATATTGTAACCGATATAAAATGCTTGTAGACAACATCTATCATAGTGCTAAGTATAGATGAGGATCTTAAGTCTATCGAATATAGACACAAAAATATTGGCCAAATGGATGAGACACAATTCAAGTAGAATTGGTTTCATACGAAAGACATATAGTTTTGGACCTGTAGTTCAAACACTTGAAAGTATAAAGTCAAATGGTATGTGCAATCAGTTTTCAATATCTTATATGTCTAGCATGACATGAAAACTTGATATGCATCTAAAGTCTATTATATGGCTTATATGACTTAACTTATATGACTATCTATGAAGGATTTAAGTTGATTGAAGCATATGCAATTCTTGATCTTGAGGTACTACTTCCTTAGTGCAATTTGTGCACAAATGTATCTTGCTATAACTATAAGCATGATAATATGATAGCAAGAGTTTTCACCTCTACGTGTGTTGATATCCAATTTTTCCCTAAATATTTTTTACACTCAAAATACTTTCAAAATAGCATATATATGCATATATCAGCACACCCAAGAGTTTGGTAATTTTTAATGTTTTTAAACCAATTTATTGTCTATTTTAACGGTACAAAATCCAATAATTATTTCCAAAATTATCATTTTGGTGAATAATTTATTTTCATCCTCATATTTACAC